CACACTTTTGACGTAGGACTACGTCTGCGATATCTATATGGGGGTACACTTTGTGAAAACCGAAAATGGAACATGTAACGAAATTAAGAAAGATTTTGATCGTTAATATCTCAACTGCCCCTCGACCAACTTTAATCATTTTATCACCAATCGTTCAGAAATATTTCTACGCATCGATGCATTTGATTGTTGATTTACAACAAGAAACTATTGAAATGGTGGTAAATGTAAAGCATTGCCCAAAAGCATTGAAATAACTAACAAATCCACCAATTACGTACATGCATATGCTGCTTCCCCAACACAGCCATCAGAGTTAAATTTCTGAGCATGTCCCAACTAAAATTCATATCAAAAGGTTCATTTCCGGGCAATCATAGTCATACTAAAGAGTAACTTTAAAGAGAACCTCGCTCAAATTCCTATTTCTACACAAAACACAAGTTCCTGCTGCAATTAACATATAAGACCACGTAGTCCTACGTCACCATTGCGTACAACCTCATAGGGCTGTCCCTTGTTTTTTTTTTTTCTTAAAACCGATGGTTGCCATCCTGGACTGCAGAATGACCTCGTTGATTTAGTTTTCGTTTAACGACGTCACTCGTGACAAGTCGAATGAGCTCCGAAGTGAAGTGAAATTGGAAAAAAAAACGAAGGAAGCAATTTTAGATTCATTCATTGCGTCCATTGAAATAAGTCTTTGCTTCAAATCTAGGGGCTGCTAATCCAGCATTTTTCTGTTGGCTGCTATTTTTCACCCACACACTTACAACCAACGCAAAACAATCACATGCGATGAAAGCGACACCTGTAAAATATGCAATTCAGCTGCAAAGTTCGTTTGTGTTGTTCAAGTTTGTTATAGGCCATATATTTATAGCTAAGTTAAGAGGATACTGTCAAATTTGTGAAACCACATAGAGAAAACATTTGATGTCAGTTCCGTGCTTCAAATGAAATTGAACTGATGATCTTGATGAACGAAACAAGCGATAGCCAAATAATGTTTGGCAGGAGGAATGTTCATCGTGACTCGATAACAAGAAACACAATGACTTACATGAAAATGATATTGGAGAGTTCATTTTATTTTCTTTGTTTTAAAAATACATAACCCTACTTGGTAACATCAACAATCAATACGAAACTAACGATTTTAAATTGGCTCACTACTTGACTAGCCTATTGGTCCCAAGCAAACGATTAACGTACCCCATTCTAGTCGAAATTCTAGTACTACGGAATGTTGATTGATTGATTTAACTTTATTAGGGAGGCTTTCAGCCTGGGGCTGGTACGCCTCCAAATTACTACGGAATGTTTGTTTTGATTCGCTTTGAAAGTTTGACAGATAAAATGAGGGGTTAGTGCAATTTCCTATGTTTCGAGGGGTGAATCGATTAGCTTGGGACCGAAGAGAGTACCAGAGCTGAGCCAAAAAGTTGAGCACGTTATTTCGGGACCTTCTAGTCTTAGAGTTACCTCTATGGTACCATCGAGCTGGGGAGACTTGACCCATAGCCAAATCCCGGTGCCAAATTGTAGGTTTTTGGTTTGTAAAAAGGGTCAAATCTCTCCTTAGGTGGATCGATCCAGTTTCTGTATTTTAGAAAAAAAAACTCTTAAGGAATTTGTGCTGCTGAAATAATTCTTATTTATTGGAATGCTAGATATCAAATCATTTTATAAAATAAGGGATCAAGTCTTATTTCACTTAAATACATTTGTTCAACTGTTATGGTCGTAGAAGTGTGCCTAAGTACCCAAGTAACACACATTCATATAATTATGTTGAGTAAACTTTCCAGTCCAGTTCAGTAAACATCCGAATCCAGTCATACAAAGGTAATATAAACTGTTATATAAACTGTGTGTTGCTTGGGTAACGACTCTTCCCAAGTAACCAAAATTTCTGATAAAAGGCTATTTTTGGCTTAAGCAGCTTGGTTGAAGATGGTCTATAGAATTCCATGCAGCCTCATTTTTAAGTCGTAATAAGAACTTGAAGAGCATTCTAAGCAGCTTCTGGCAAAACTTGAACGGAACTGTTAGAAAATAAGTTTTAAAAGGCTTTGTGTTCTACACCAATTCTATATTTAGTTCGCACTTTTATGAAAGTTTATTTTAAAGTCAGGTCTTCATGAAAGTTATTTCTAAAGGCAGGTGAATGATTTATCAGCATTAGTAGTAGTATTGTTGAGCTGTCTGAAGAATTAAACCCAGTCCTACTGCGTGAGAGCGCCAGCACAAACCGCTACGTCATCTGAGATATATTGAATTGAGCTGTTGTCCCGCCTACTGTTGGAGTTTTCAGTGCCAGCTGACTGACTTGAATTCGAAACACAACACCTTGATAAATTTTAAATTGGTTCAAATCCAGGAAATCGCTCTTTGTTTTTTTATGTTTGGATAGAATGTTGATGCACTGATCATTTCATATTTACGTACATTAAATTTTTTAATCACAAAGAGTTGTGCGGATTGCTTCGTGTGGGCTATGACGGACCTTTTTAGAAACTTTCAAGTTGCCAAGAAGTTCCGGCTTTATGAAACTTGAAAGTTCTGTCGGAACTTTATGGAACTAGGAAGTGAGTTTTATCGTTGAATACGGAACTTTTGGTAACTTGGGTTTGCTGTGATAGGCAAAAAGATTGAAATATTAGAATCAGATCAAGTATCCCCTTCTTCCGCTACCAATAAACCTTGAATATTTGATCAGTTTCAGGAAATTTGAACACGCCCAGAACAATGACACCTCAACATTATATCCTGTGGTGGATCGGCCGTATAAAGGGTTATAAGGTGCCGAAAGTGCCTTCCTCATTTCACTAAAATCAACTGTAACACTTCGAAGGTGGTAACATTTGATCACAGCTACTCGTAGAGCAACACCGCCCCCACCAGATGGTAGCAATTCCAAATTAAAACACTCACCAATTACGACGGCAGAGACATTGCAACGGAGTACCGAATGTGTCGGGAAAGCAGTTAATGATTCATGTAAACATAATCATCCTTGAGATTTAAGAAGATCTTTGTTCGCTTTACTACCGACTGCTACTTCTTCCATCACTATATTTACTGCTATGAATGTCTCATCGTCTGCATACTGAATGAGCTTTTCCATCTTAAACCGTTCCCGTTGCCATGTGAGCGTGTGTTGGCGGTAGTTAAACATCGTAGCGAAATTTTTGATGATACTTAAGCTCGGCACCAGGCTGATGTCACCGACGTCAGACGAGAGGCGAGAGAGGGAAAGGATTAAGTCGCACGCTGTGAAATTTTATCGAGTGGAATAAATTACCGGTGAAGGCTAATGAAGTGCCGCCTTGATGTATGCAATTTTGGTATGCGGCAGGGTTTGGATTGCAAAAGGATCGAACGCACGGTCGTTGAAGCCAAATCATAATTGAGTTCCGTTCACTCAAATTCGCAAATAAACGTACCTAGGTCACTCAATTACTCATAATAAAAAAAAAATTGCAGGAACTCAGCGATGCGTAAATTTGCCTCATGTTTTCCTATGGAAAACCTCAAAAATCTGCCGGAAAATGAAGCCAATTTACTCATCGGTGAGCTCCTGCACTTTTTGCGATTTATGAATAAACTGTACTCAAATTTGGGGTTGATCTCATTGGCCATGTAAGTTAAAGTTTTCCTCAATTTTCCAGGCAAAACTTTTCGAATATGAGGAAAATCAAGAGAAGTTTAATTTAGTCTATTGGTAAACGACTCAAAATTGAGTTGAGAGGTGTTCCACTCAAAATCACAAAATCGTAGGTCACTCATAGATTGAGTAAAATTGTCCACGCTTTTCCTCAAAAATCTGCTTGAATATCAGAAAAATCAACGAAAATATACTCAAGTTTCGTAAGCTCCGTTTTTTTTTGTTGCCATATTGAGGGAACGAAACTCAAATTTGTGCTGGTTCAATCGGCCGTGCAGGGTATAATTGAATTTCCCGCTCCAGCCCGGTGTCGATTTTCCCGAATGGTACCGAGCGCTGAGTGAAGGGCTGATAAGGCTTGTTGAAGAAGTGTTCATCTTGAAAGGAGGCCCGGTGGCGGTATAATCGTTTAGATTAGTGGGAATGTTTCTAATTGGCAGCCGGAAGGTTGTAGAGGCGATAGTTATTTCATATAACGGTGATTTGTTGGATCGAGAAGACAAGTTCTTTAATTAAGATAAGCGCAACGATAATTAAGTATTACTTCTGCTTACTGCTTTTTCTTTCTTTCTTAAGACGATTTTTCCAGATTTAAAAATTATTTTAAAGTAAAGAGACAGGGGCATTAACTAGCCTAATCTGAGAGGACTGGTGGCGGTGGGTTCAATTTCCAGTCTGGTCTAGGAAATATTTCGGGTTGGAAATTCTTTCGACTTCCCTGGGCATATCAAGAGCAAATTTTCATTATGTCGTAAGTAACATTCGCACCGATCCGAGAAAAATAAAGTTTTGTTTTGATGACCGAAAAGTTATTCCTATTTCCAATTAAACACATATAATCTCATAGTGATAGCAATGTTTAACATATTTAGCCGGGTTTTAATCATACAAAGGCAAATCGCTAACTTTCATGCTAAGAAATACTGGTTTTTGAGTCAAAAGTTATTATACGTCGTTTGGTGGCCCCTATTGTTACTTAAGTCAAAGTGTATTTACCAGGATATTCGGGAGAATTATCAATCTCGTCTCCTTACGTGCAGCCTATTCATCATTTTAGGACCACCGAAATCATCTTAGCAACAAACAGTTCGATTTATTCACTTTAATAATGAGAAAGCGAAACGACGAAAGTACACTTTTCACGGGTTTCTCAGGGCTGTTACTTAAGGCAAACGGCATCTCCATATAAATCGGGTGACTTAAGTAACATGCCGTATCGAACGACAACCACCAACGATGCGTGAACTTTGCAGCCTCCCGGGGTATGGTAGTTCGAAGTACCTTTTTCCCCCACAAGGATATCCACAAAGCCACCTGGAGACCACCTGACCAACACACAGAAAACCAAATCGATCACGTTCTAATCGACGGGAAATTCTTCTCCGACATTATCAACGTCCGCACGTACCACAGTGCGAACATAGATTCGGACCACTACCTAGTTGCAGTATGCATGCGCTCAAAACTCTCGACGGTGCATAACACACGTCGAAGTCGAACGCCACGACCCAACATTGAGCAACTACGGGACACCGGAGTTGCCCAGGACTACGCGCAGCAGCTGGAAGTTGCACTACCCACGGAAGAGCAGCTTGGTGCAGCTTCTCTTGAAGATGGCTGGAGGGACATCCGTTCAGCCATAGGTAGTACTGCTGCAGCGGCACTAGGTACTGCAATCCCGGACCGAAGAAATGACTGGTTTGACGGCGAATGCAAACTGTTAGTAGAGGAGAAGAATGTAGCACGGGCGAGAATGCTGCAACACCGCACGAGATTGAATGTGGAGCGATACAGACAAGCGCGGAACAGACAAAACTCGGTTTTCCGAAGGAAGAAGCGTCAGCAGGAAGACCGAGATCGCGAGGCGATGGAAAATCTGTACCGCGTAAACGACACACGGAAGTTCTACGAGAAGCTAAATAGTTCGCGCAAAGGCTACGTGCCGCAAGCCGATATGTGCAAGGACTTGGACGGTAACCTTCTCACGAACGAGTGTGAGGTGATTGAGAGGTGGAAGCAGTACTATGACGAGCACCTCAACGGTGAAGCAGCAGAAAACGAAGGTGGCACGGCAACAGACCTTGGAACACGCGCAGAAGACGACAGGCTACCGGCCCCTGATCTTCAAGAAGTTGAGGAGGAGATCGGTCGGCTGAAGAACAACAAAGCAACTGGTGTAGATCAACTACCAAGTGAGCTATTGAAATACGGTGGTGAAGCACTGGCTAGAGCGCTGCACTGGGTAATTGCCAAGATTTGGGAGGAGGAGATATTACCGGAGGAGTGGATGGAAGGTGTCGTATGCCCAATCTACAACAAGGGCGACAAGTTGGATTGCTGCAACTACCGCGCGATCACACTGCTAAGCGCCGCCTACAAGGTACTCTCCCAAATTCTATGCCGCCGTCTGTCACCATATGCAAGAGAGTTCGTGGGGCAATACCAGGCGGGATTCATGGGTGCCCGCGCTACCACGGACCAAATTTTCGCGATTCGGCAGGTTCTGCAGAAATGCCGCATCTCGGAGATGAACCAGCCTACGGCTGAAAATCTCCTAAATAAAGAAAGAAAAAAAAAAAAAAAGAAATGCCGCGAATTCAATGTGCCCACACATCATTTGTTCATCGATTTCAAATCCGCATACGACACAATCGATCGAGATCAGCTATGGCAGATTATGCACGAGTACGGATTTCCGGATAAACTGACGCGATTGGTCAAGGCGACGATGGATCAAGTGATGTGCGTTGTTCGAGTATCGGGACACTCTCGAGTCCCTTTGAATCTCGAAGGGGGTTACGGCAGGGTGATGGACTTTCGTGTCTGCTGTTCAACATCGCGTTAGAAGGTGTGATCAGAAGAGCTGGGATAGACACGAGTGGCACGATATTCAGGAAGTCCATCCAGCTCCTTGGTTTCGCCGATGATATTGACATTATGGCACGGAACTTTGAGATGATGGCGGAAACGTACATCAGACTGAAGGCTGAAGCTAGACGGATTGGACTTGCCATCAACGCATCAAAGACAAAATACATGAAAGCAAGACCCACCCCGAGTTCAGATTGACGGTGACGAAATCGAGGTGGTCGATGAGTTCGTGTATTTGGGCTCACTGGTGACCGCCGAAAATGATACCAGCAGAGAAATTCAAAGACGCATTATGGCAGGGAATCGTGCCTACTTTGGACTCCGGAGGACGCTCCGGTCGAATAAAATTCGCCGCCGCACGAAGTTGACTGTCTACAAGACGCTGATTAGATCGGTGGTCCTTTACGGCCACGAGACCTGGACTATGCTCGTGGAGGACCAACGCGCCCTTGGTGTTTTCGAACGGAAGGTGTTGCGTACCATCTACGGTGGAGTGCAGATGGATGACGGAACGTGGAGGAGGCGAATGAACCACGAATTGCACAAGCTGCTGGGAGAACCATCCATCGTCCACATTGCAAAAATTGGGCGACTACGGTGGGCTGGGCACGTCGTAAGAATGCCGCACGACGACCCAGTGAAAATGGTTCTAGAAAGCGACCCAACAGGAATAAGAAGAAGAGGCGCGCAGCGGGCAAGGTGGATCGACCAAGTAGAAGGTGACCTGCGGACCCTTCGCAGACTACGAGGCTGGCGAAGTGTGGCCATGGATCGAGTAGAGTGGAGACGACTTCTTCGGACAGCAGAGGACAACAAGGCCTTAGCCTGATTGGTAAGGTAAGGTAAGGACTTAAGTAACATCGAAAACTATTTTGATCGGAAGGTGATTACGTCAAAAAGCAATGCGACTGGTAAATAAATTTAAAAATGGGATGTGATCCTATATTCGGACAGTACATAGTGCAATAGCAGGAGCATCGATTGACACTGATAGCTCGACTTTGTTTACCTTTGTTACATTTGACGTAATGAAAATTTGCTCTTGATATAAGGCTGAGTAAAAGCAAATTTTTACGCCCCTCGCGCGCCGCTACCACGCCTCTATTGGTGGGAATTAAACATCTTTGACAGTGGTTTGTTTACACTTCTACACACTTAGAAATTTTTACAGAAATCTGTAAAATTTTACCGAAACCTCAACAGCTGAACGTTCGGTAAACAGTTTCGCAGATTTCCTGTAATTTTTCACAAATATCTGTGAATTTTTCACAGATATCTGTAAATAATTACAGGAAAACTGTAAAATTGTTTACCGAACGTTCAGCTGTTGAGATTTCGGTAAAATTTTACAGAAATCTGTAAAATAATCTTAGTTTGTATAGAGAACAACTGGTGCAAGTTTGATCAAAGTAGTCGACCGCGTTCAGAAATAACGTCAAATGGAACTCAAAATAATAAAAAAGTGGTGGAGTGGTCCGTTTCCATGCTGGCTAAAGTGCTAAAGATGAAGAAAACAACAGTTTGTCGAGTGCTCAAAACCTACAAAGAAACTTTGAGTGTGGAAAGGAATCAGTAGTTCTACGAAAAAACTGGAACCAGGGATCGTCAACAGCGCAGCAAGGTGTTGAGGTGCGTTAAAGCCTACCCTGGTCTTTCGATCCGAGATGTGGCCAGAAGATACAACACCAACTTTCTAACGGTGCGGAACATGCTTGCCAGGGAATGATACAAGTCGTACAAAGCCAATAACCATCCGAACCGGCGCATGGAGCAGAATTCCGTGGCCAAAAAGCGAGCAAAGTTCTTGAACGACCGTGTTTTGATAAAACACAAGGGCTGCACTTTGATCGATGACGAAACTTACGTCAAACTAGATTTTAAGCAGCTCTCCGGTCAAAAATTTTACATCGTGATTGGGCGTGGGGATATTCAGGGAAGATTCAAGTTCGTATTTGCCGACAAGTGTGCAAAGAAAGCCATGATTTGGCAAGCAATTTTCAGTGTGGCCTGGAATCGGAACCATTCGTCACAACCTCGACAGTTTACATCGTATAATGCCTGAAAAAGCGTGTTCATCCGCAAGCATATGGGCAAAGTCATCTTTTGGCCTGACTTGGCCAGCTGTCACTACTCCAAGGTTGTTCTTCAAGGTATGCTGCCAACAAGATTATTTTTTTCCCCAAGCTAATGAATTCTCCGAATTGCCCTGAATTTCAACCAATCGAAAAATACTGGGCAATTTCAAAGCAGCAACTTCGACGAAGTGGCGTGGCAATCAAGGATATACAGCAAATGCGAGCAAAATGGAAGAAATGCGCTGATTCCGTGTTCGTTTCCACAGTGCAGGCGCTGCTGGGCTCCATCAATAGGAAAGTTCGAGATTTCGTTCGAGCCGGAGAAATGTAACCAGCGAATACTGTAACTTTGAAGTTTTAATAAAAGCACTGTAAAGCAATCACTAATGGACTTTTTAAACTTATTGAATCAAGAATTACAGGTCTTTTTGTACGTACTTATTTATTTTTAGTCAGCCTTTAGAATCATTGTGCTGGCCACACAATGTTTGCATAGAAAAGCTATTTATTAATAACTGTGGAAGTGCCACAAGAACACTAAGTTGAGAGCACACGAAAGTTCGTGCACATGGAAGGATTGTGTATTATTTGAATTTTTTTTTTCTCTTTGACTGCTCTTTCAGTTTTGGAGGTGACAAAGGTTTTAAATATCTCATGTAAATTCACCATGTTGAAAAGTACCCGAATGAATCACACCAGCATTTTAAATGTTTTACTATGACAATCTATGAAACTCAAACAATCCCTTCCAGTTCCAAACCGGCAATGAACAATGCGCCCTGCTCCAAACCCAAATCAAACTCCCTTCAATCTGGAATAAGGTTCGCCGCTGGTGACTTGGCAGCTTCTCGTCGGGTTGGCTTCCGCGAAACAAACCAGCACAAGAGCACGGACGGCGTTCGCGACATTTGCAAGTCATCATTACTTTCAATTATCGAGTTGTCTGTCGTGTGGTGCTTTGCAGAAGCAAGAAGATACCCTACCGATGGTCCTGGCCGGGGATTCCCCAAAATCACACACCACGACGACGACGACGACGACGACGGGTCGTTGAGGTTTGGTCCTCGAAAAGCAAAGCGAAACCGATGGTTCACCGCAAGCCGCGAGGGGTGCGAGAAAAGCAAAGTTTTACTTTATGAAGTGACTGACTGGCAGGATCTCTACGGTTGCACACAACGATGCTGCCCCGTGCTGTCGAAAAGCTACGCACACAGGGATTCAACGTGAATCCAAAATCGGTAAGTAAATGGAAAACTTTTTCCGTAAATCAAAACAATGCCGAAAGATTTCAATCCAAGTTGCACGCTCAGCTTCCGAGAGACGTTCTTCAGTATTTATTTGCCACGCACACTAACCCAAAGGCGATTTGGAAGAAGTTGAGGCTTACGTTGCTGGCGAACGGAGAGTGGAATTCTTATTTATTCCTTGCCTTGCACGACCCACCCCCAAACACTCGGCCATTGATTTGATGCTGAGTGGAGCAGAATGCTCAATCAGGGCAGAATCTGCTGGATGTCTCAGGCTAATCTAATCGATCGAAACGTCAGTTCAGCCTGTTCAATTTCGTACGATGGATCGGGAAAGTGAACCGGGTCGAAATGATGAATTTGCTTCGGGGGAAAGATGGAAAGGATGGATGAACGATTGAGTCTTGCAAGTCGAGTTTCGTTCACATGTTTCGTTGCCGAGTTTCGAAAGCTGGAGCTTCCTGCTTGACTGCTAGTGGAATTTGAAGTTCATCAAATATTTCAAATGTTTCATGAATCATCGTCTAAGTTTTGAAAATAGCGATAGCAGTTGTGAAGGTATCAATTTACCATTTACAATTCTCCAGTTTAAAGTTTCGTATCCGTGGGCAAATATTGCTATGCATATTATCCGTTGACCGGCGAGATATTTATTACAATGTATTGTCCACATGATTTTCCAGATTGATTGGTATTGCACAACAGCATAATATGATTTCTTTGGTAAGCGTCTTTTTTTTATCTATTTCGTTTATTTGGAAGGCTCAATCGCGTTAGCTTTACGGAGCCGATAATTCATTGTTCACTGTGTGTAACAAAATTCACTTAATTCTATGTCTAGTAGGAGTTGGGCCGATTACTCGCGGCTTACTCGAGGTTAGAAGGGTACATTTTCGAAGGATAGGATCAGGGGAGGAGCTTGGGGTAGGGTTTCGTTGTCTCATCAGAGCGTTGTCGCCAGTATGAACGGTAGTGCTGTTCTAGCTTCGTCCGGAGTTCGACCGGCTATGGTTGGTGACCAGTGGGCGACGATGAGACTCATCGAGACGTTTGGTAAGCGTCACTTAATTAAATTTCATCTGCTCAATAAAATAAGAAAAGTAAGTATTTCCCTATGTTACATCGGAAATTTTCTGGATAAACTACTTTCACTGCATAAACTAGCTTGTGTTCTTCGTAGCATTTTACAATATCTCGTAATTCAAATGCACGAAAATAATAAAAACTGCTTTTCAAACATCTTGGTGAACAAAATAAAACACCAAGAAAATCACTTAGACTCCATTTCTTTGCTGGCGAACGTAAAATAATTATTGAACAAGTGGTACTAGATGTATTACCTCTAAAAAATAATAAAAAAATATAATAACAAACCAATACGTAGTTATAAGCTAAGAAGAGTGCATGAATAAATTAAAAAAAATGAATATATTACACTAAAATAGGCCGTTTTTGGAACTTATTCGTTCGAATTAAAAAGGTAGAACAAGATTTAATTAAACATACACAGGGGAGATGGCTGCACTGCACTTAGCTTTCGCACTCAGGGTTTTGAACAAAATTTGGATTTTGTGCCTACGATATTCTTATGTACTAGATAGCTTGACATCACATTTGCTGTTGTATTGAAAAGAGAAGGAATAAAAGATATGGTCAGATTTTGCTCACCATACCAGTTGATATTTATAAAACATTGATGGTTTAGGTACGGCAACGCACACTACCAATGAATTTTACCTTTAGAAAGTGATGATATCGGAAGATCGCAGTAGGCCGCGCTTGAAAACAGACGTGTTTTTCTTTTGCTACGTAATTTTCGTCA